AAGTCCACATAATCTTTGTTGCCTAGTGTTATACACCTCTTTGCCGATGAAATACCGATGCTCTACGCTAATGAGTGAAGAAAACTTTGTCAACATATATATATAAACCTGCTACTCTTTCAAAATTCCCACAGACACACTTCATTACATAACGTACGTCATGACATGCATGACATTTTCGCCTTTTGTAGTTGTTGTTGTTGAAAATAACAACAAATAAACGAAGAAAAAATATAAAAACTAACGTTAAAATCTAAAATTAGTACGGATTCCCCCATCAAACCAGCTGTTCAACTTGTCGTCTTGAGGAGGGGCAAAACAAATTGGCAGCAAAGAAAGATCAATTATTAAAAACAATAAATTGATAAATTAACTTACGCCAAAGGGATTGAGATTTTCCTGTTGTTGCTCCGCCATGGTAAGGAGATTTAAAGGATATTTTTTCACTAAATTTTTAATTTGAAAAATTTTCAAATGATTTTCTAAACAATTTTTTCAATTGCCGAATGCACACTTTTTCCTTTAATTTTTTGAGATTTTCAAAATTTCAAATATTTCTTGTTGGATTTTTTTCCCAAGGAACTCCTTTTCTTTATCACCTCCACCGATATTTTTGTCACTACGACGAGTAAACAAAAATAAAAATATATTTAATTCTTTTTTGTTAATTTTCAGTACCGCATCGAACCAAATGGAAAACAAACCGACCCATCGACGTTATTAAGTGCACGAGACAACTAAAATAAAATAACAAAAAAATATTTGAAACAGAAAAAACAAACGGCAGGCAGGCATAAAATAAAACAAAACAAAAAATAAAATAAAAAAGAATACAAGATCTGCTTTACGCTCGGGCTGAGCAAAAACACGAAAAATTTCAACAACAAATCATCTTCATCATTATCATTATCATCACCATCAATTCTATTGCCATAGTCTGAGGCATCATCATCATCATCATCGTTGTCTTCATTATCAGTGAAATCATTTTGTGGCAGTAGCTGCGACAGGAGCAGCATCATCTAACGTTGACACATTAAGTCTAAAAAGTGGGCACGCGATCATATAGGCCAGCACAACGGAAAACCACAAACAATCAGACGCACACACACACCCAGTCTACTACACCCCTTTGGCTGGGTGGGAAAAATATTGTGTTCCATAAGTGCCAAAGGAAAGTATGCACATGGGCGCAATAAGGCAGAACAATCATATGAAATTTTCCGATTCTAAAAAAAAAAATAAATAAGAAAGCAGTAAAGTCGGCCAGGTCGAAAAAATAAATAAAAAGCTGAATAACTTCCAACATTTGGAACGAATTTGGCAATTTTCAAAATAAAATCCGTTAAATCCGTTAAAATCTTAAAAATACCGAATGTAGCCGTTATATTAGCGTCTATACGACAACATGGACCTGCATAGGCAACTTTTGTCATAAACCATTACAATATTCAAATGCGAAACTTGAAAAAAAAATCAGTGAACAATGTCGCTAAAATCATCAAAATATCGAAAGGTACCGTTATACGGGGGCTATACGAAGACGTGGATCTGTCCAGACAATTTTCTGTCATAGGCTGTAGTATCCATTACGAACTTCAAATACCAAATTTGAAACATTTCCGGTGAATAATGTCGCTAAAATCATCAAAATACCAAATATCGGGAGGTACCTTTATACAGGGGCTATACGAAGACGTGGTCCTGCACAGACAATTTTCTGTCACAGGCTGTAGTATTCATTTCGAACTTCCAATACCAAATTTGAAACCATTCCGGTGAATAATGTCGCTAAAATCAACAAAATACCGAATATCGGGAGGTACCGTTATATGGGGGGCTATACCAAAACGTGGACCTACATGGCCCATTTTCTATAGCAAAAGTTCTGCAGACATATTATACATTTGAGTAAAATGTTATCAATCTACTTCATTTCGTTCGGAAGCTAGACGGACATCGCTAAATCGACATAGAATTTTATGCTGATCAAGAATATATATATACTTTGTGGGGTCTAAAATGTATATTTCGAGGTTTTACAAACAGAATGACAAACTTAATATACCCTTCATACTATGGTGGAGGGTATATTAAGTGAAGGATTAAAATTTATTATTGATTGATAGTCCATCTCCACTTAGATTTGATCCTTCACAAACATATTCTTTTAAAAAATACCAGTTCCTTCGGTCCTCCAAAAAAAAAAATTTTAAATCAACGTTGCACTGGTCCTCCAACAAAATATTCTTTAAAAAATCCACGTTGTTTCTGGTCCTTGAAAATATATTCCACGTTGTTTCTGAACCTTGAAAAAAAAATGTCTTTAAAAAATTCACGTTTTTCTGGTCCTGGAAAATGTTCATTAGAAAATCAACATTGATTTGGTCCTCCAAAAAAAATATTTTTTAAAAAGTCCACATTGCTCCTGATCCCTTAAAAAAATATTTTTTAAAAAATCCACGTTGTTTCTGGTCTATGAAAATATATTCTTTAAAAATCCACGTTTTGTCTGGTCCTTGAAAAAATATTCTTTAAAAAATCCACGTTGTTTCTGGTCGTTTAAAAAAATATTCTTAAAAAATCCAATTTGTTTCTGGTCCTTTAAAAAAATATTCATTAAATAATCCACGTTGTTTCTGGTCCTTGAAAAAATATTCTTCAAAAAAACTCAAATTTGTTTCTTGTCCTTTGAAAAAATATTGTTTAAAAAATCCACATTGCACTGGTCCTTGAAAAAATGGTCTTCAAAAACTTGTTTCTGGTCCTTGAAGAAATATTCTTTAAAAAATCTACCTTGCACTGGTCCTTGAAAAAATATTCTTCAAAAAACTCAAATTTGTTTTTGTCCTTTGAAAATATATTCTTTAAACAATTCACGTTGTCTCTGGTCCTTGAAAAAAATATTCTTTAAAAATTCCTAGTTGCACCGGTTCTTAAAAAATATTCTTTAAGAAATCCACTTTGATTTGGTCCTTGAAAAAATATTCTTTAAAAAATGCACTTTGAGTTGGTCCCACCAAAAAATATTCGTTAAAAATACGCTTTGATTTGATAACCAAATAAAAAAATATTCTTCAGCAAATCCTCGTTGCACAAATCCTTGAAAAAAACATTCTTTAAAAAATCCACGTTGCGTCTGTTTCTTGAAAAAATATTCTTTAAAAAATCTCCTTTTAATCTGTCCTCCAAAAATATTTTTTATAAAATCCACTTTGAATTGGTCCTCGAAAAAATCGAAGAGAGATTCTCCCTTTTTTCCATGACAATTACATTCCCCAAAATTCCTTTTGGATTTTATATCCCAGCCTCTGCCAATGCCAGAGAATTGTTTCAAATATTTAGTCATCTTTTTGCAGCCCTTCGAATTGAAATTTAACAGTTTCTTAGGTGAAGACACTTTTTGCATTGGAGCAATAGGCTTTTACACACTGTTTAGCCTTTCCAAGGCCTCTATTGACGTCCTGCAATTCTTGTATTTTTCAGCTGGAAAGGCTTCCCACAGATTATGAAAAAAATCAAAAGCTTACTCATCAACATCATACCAGGTTTGATTTTATTCTGCATTCCAACTCGAAATGTTCTTTTCATCACCCTTTACGTGTTCCCAGCATCTTAAATTAATTATAATAAGCCCATGAGACAACGTCCGGGGTCCATAGCATCTTGGGAATAATACGTATTTTATTTCTTCCACGAGCATTGAGCTCCTTTCGAAAAATATTATTTTAAAATCCCCAAGCATTGATGTCCTTTGGAAAAATATTTTTTTTAAGTCCACGAGCATTGATCTCTTTTGGAAAAAATTTTTTTTTAAATCCACGAGCATTGAGCTCCTTTGGAAAAATATTTTTTTTAAGTCCACGAGCATTGATCTCTTTTGGAAAAAAAATTTTTTTTAAATCCACGAGCATTGAGCTCCTTTGGAAAAATATTTTTTTAAGTCCACGAGCATTGATCTCTTTTGGAAAAAATTTTTTTTTAAATCCACGAGCATTGATCTCCTTTGGAAAAATATTTTTAAAAATCCACGAGCATTGATTTCCTTTAGAAAAATATTTTTTAAAATCCACGAGCATTGATTTCCTTTAGAAAAATATTTTTTAAAATCCACGAGCATTGGTCAGGACGTCCTTGAAATATATTTTTTAAAATCTACGAGCATTGATCAGGACGTCCTTTGGAAAAATATTTTTAAAAATCCACGAGCATTGATCTCCTTTGGAAAAATATTTTTTAAAATCCACGAGCATTGATATCCTTTGGAAAAATATTTTTAAAATCCACGACCATTGAAATTTTTTTTTTTGGAAAAATATTTTTTAGAATCCACGAACATTGACCTCCTTTGGATTTTTTTTTTAAATCAACGAGCATTGATCTCCTTTCGAAATATTTTTAAAAATCCACGAGCATTGGAAAAATATTTTTTAGAATCAACGAGCATTGACCTCCTTTGGATTTTTTTTTTTTAAATCAACAAGCATTGATCTCCTTTCGAAATATTTTTAAAAATCCACGAGCATTGATCTCCTTTGGAAAAAATTTTTTTTAAATCCACGAACATTGATCTCCTTTGGAAAAATACTTTTTAAGTCCACGGCAATATTTTTCTATGTCACATGATACCATATCATCGTGGCTATTCTTCATACTTAATTTCGACACCCACTATATGTTGTTGAAAAAACACGCATTGCAACAAAGTTTTATAGAATTACATCTCAGCCAAACTATCAAAAACATATGCGGTTTGTTAGCGATTTGTCACGACAAATGCGTGGCAAGGAAAAAAATGGTGAGGTAAGGGGCCATAGTAAAATACAATTATTTTTTCCCCTACACCTTCTCTTCGGAATGTTCAAATTTGCTTAAACTGTGGTTTGTGCCCAACCACATTCTTCTTGGTATTTCGGTATTTATACTTAATTGCAGTTTATAGAACTACCTCCAATTTAAATTTCACCTCAAAATCTAAAAACAATAAATTAAAAATATCAATAAGTTTTTCCAATCAAATTGCCTTCCTTTCAAAAATTTTCCGGTAGTTTTTTTGTTTTCCATTCATATTTCTTTCCAACATGAATAACCAAAAGTCGCCTCATCGTCTTCCGAACATAATTGATTTAACAAATAGTGTTGAAACTCCAACAACATCCCCAGTAAACAAAAACAAAAACGAAGCCGATGACGATGTAATTTTGGTATCCACTACCCTGCCGGCACCGCAACCCATCAAATTCTGCAAATCTCCATTTGGCAAAGAAAGAAGAAAATCCTATAGACACCCCAGCGGTCCCTATATAACTCTCACGTGTCCCATTTGTTTGGAATCTTGTATAAAGCAACAGCCCACCTCAACGCGATGTGGTCATATATTTTGTGAGAAATGTATTAAACATTTTATACATGTGGATAGCAAATGTCCCATTTGTAAAATGAAAATTAACAATTTGGATCTATTTCGTATCTATGTCTAATGGTCATGCATATATTTTGTTTTTCGAATTAAAATCAGTTATTCATTTTATGTAAAATTTGCTATTTTTGAAAAATCCATGAGAAAGTTGTAAAAAGGTAGCTTTTAGTGGTAAAAGAGGTTGCGAGAATCCTTGATGTCCTCAATTTTCTTTGGCAAATTAAATAGATTTTATTTAAAGATTGTAGTAGAACATTCGCTGTCGACCATTGACAATGATATTCATGATGATGATCATAACTATGAATTTGTAATGTGCAAGAGACTGGACGCTACAACTGCTACCTCTCCCCAAGTTTGCTGAACTTTGTTAGACGCTGATGATGACGACGATAATAATAATCATGTTAATTTTTGTAATGATAATCATGATCATTAGTGTGTGTGTTCCACCAAATGACACTTTTTGTGGGTGTAAAACAAATGATGATTTTGTTGCAATCGGTCAGATGTGTAACACAAACAGAAAAAAAAACAACAGAGATCAAAGATTAATCAGTGCACACCAAAAAAAAAAATTTTATAAGAATTTTTTTCCACACATTAGATGGGAACGTTTGTGGATAGATAACCAAGTGAAAACAATGAATGATGATGCATTAATGCGGACCGCAACAACAATTTCTATGATTGGAAAATTTGTGTAGACTTTGTCTATAGCAAAGATGCAAAAGATTCTTATCGACATTTGTGGGATATCAAAAGTACATCTCTTTCTGATATGAAATGTCTTATTGATGTATTTTTCGTATGTTTTCGAGGGTGTTGAACTCCATCAATACATTCTTGCATTTCAAGTTATGGTATACTATCGTACAGAGAGGAAATTTAAGAGCATAATTTCTTGAAATAGCCCCTCAAAACACAATTTCTTGTTGAAATCTACCTTTTGCATAGAATGTATTCATGGACATTTTGAGACCGCACCTCTTCCATCTGCCCAAAGTACTGCAAGGTATTAAACGTACACCTCTTTCTGGCATTATTTTGTTTTCGCATGTTGTCGAGGGTGTTGAAATACATCAATACCGTCTTGCATTTCTAGGTATTCCCACTTAACGGCTAGTTCAAAGGCAATTGTGCAACATTGCAGCTTAAAAATATAATCAGCTTTTAACTAAACATGAATTATAAATTGGTTTCTGTAAATTTCTCTGTAAAAAAAACACTTACCTTTTTTGGCGCAATAAAGAACCACTCCATTTGAAGAACGCTTTATTCGGCTAACAACTCACAATTGAAAAAAAAAAACTGTTAACTACTTGCCAGGCAAGAGTTAAATTGTTTCCCAATCAAGGCTCAAGTTTATGCACTAAAAATCAATGTTTTATAACTCACGGAAGTTCACAATTGCCTATTTTTCTCTGGGAAAATAATAAATGCTAAATATTTTATCTTTAATTGGTGAAATTATGTATTTAAAACACAGAAAATTGTTTAAAGTCTTTTCTGAAGCTTCGCGTTTTAATTTTTTTTTTAACGATTAACTGACTGCAGGTCAATGTTTGCTATCGATTATTCTACTATCGGTTAACTGAACCAACAGCCACTTTGAGAGTAATCAGTTTTTTCATTTTGATTTATTTATGGTTTAACGGTATTCTATTTTTAGAGTATTTGATAAATTACTTGAATATATTTTAATACATATATTTGTTATAAGAATGTTAAATAATCTTTATTTATTATCAAAATAACTAATTGTTATTTTTCCCACCAGCTACTTTAATCATGTGCCATCATTATCGATAACTAACGGTTACCCGTTTTCTCGGCTCCTTTTCTCTCTCTCACAGCCACTTACTCATCTCTAACCTCCAACGATTTTGACATTTGTGGCAAAAAGTTGGTTCGATTTGACGACGAACGAGGCAGAGAGGCGAAATTTACGAGTAGAAAAGAAAATTTGCATAACTTTGCATATTTTTTTAAAAACAATAGCCAAGGGCCATATAAAAAAACTCATTTTGCAAAACAAATAATGGCTGCCAGCTCGAGAGTTTTGCTCAAAGTACGCGGTAAGTGTAACAGTGAATAGAAAATGATAAAGAAAAAAAGATGAAATCTCCAATGAATTTGGCAAGAGAAATTATATAACGTCATAGGAGAAATATTTGTGATAACATAACCGGTGGCTAATTAAAAGTAAATTAAAAATAATTATTGGAAGATAAGCAAAAGTGGGCAAGGTGTAAATTTGGTGGCAAACTCCAATAATATGTGGAAATTCGTTGGATTCTACAGGGCCTCTATATAGTTGGCATATGATACAATAGCGAACAAAAAAAAAAAAACAAGTGGAATGTCAAATATCCAATGACCGTGATTTTTTGTTAATTTTTTTGTATTTTTGCTATCGTTGTTGTTGTTAGTTTTCTTGTTTGCTTGTGGGAAAGCAAACTAATTGAAAGTGATTGTGTATTTGTTGTTTTACCCTGAGAGTGATCAACAGATCAGAGAAAGGGAGATGTGTGTTGTTTTTCAAACATATTTTTAGATTTTAATTAATTTTCCTTTCCTTTTTCTGCTTTCCTTTGTTTCAGATGGACTTGTTGCCGCCGTCCGCCACAACTCCCAATACAATCAGACACGTGCCAACTTAATGTTGACCGGTGAATCTCGTGTCATTTGCCAAGGTTTTACCGGTAAACAGGTACCTTCCACAGCCAACAGGCCTTGGAATACGGCACCAAATTGGTTGGTGGTATTTCACCCAAGAAAGGCGGTACCACCCATTTGGGCCTGCCCGTTTTCGCCAGTGTAAGTAAAATGAAGTAATTTAAAAATGAAAATAATTTTTTTCTTTGTATTTTTAAGAATTTTGTTAGAAAAAGATTCGAGGACATGAAATGTAAATGAAATGTTTAATTGAAGTCAAATCCATTAATTCGAAAATTAGTCAATATAGCGGCTTTAAGGATAGTTTTTCAATTTCTAATGAATGTCCATTTATAGAGCCGTATGATATGTTCCATTTGAAGGCCATCATATCTTAGAGAAAAGAAGATTAAAGGAACTTTGTCTGGGAGGAGAAGTTCTAAAATCTTTATGGCGTAGAAAGGACTTTTAAAATCACCTTATCTTCAGTTTTTAAGAAATGAAAGCTACTGTGGAATTAATAGCTGCTCTTAGATTCACATCAGTGAGCTAAAAATTTTGATTCCACAAACATATCCCCTCAATTTCATAAAATTATGCCCTAAAGACAAGATTTTTCTCGAAAAACGGACTTTATAATATGCATTTTCCCAATATAGGAGAACTGAATTATATTGAAGAATAAGTAGATGTGCTTCTGTTGACATCAAAAACCTAAAAAATTAGTATCTAAGAAAAAAATTGACACCCATTCTATAAATATGTTTGTCTATCGCAACAACTTTAAATCTTAAAAAGGTCCCATATTCGGTCCAAATTAATTCTTATAGAGGAAAATGTCTTATATACTTGTGTGTATAATCCAGTCTATTTTATTTGATTCTAGAAGTACCTCTGCGACCACTAAGTCAATAGGTTCTCAAATTAAGACCATGTCCAAATCCTACCTAAGTTTGTAATATCTCTACCTTAACCAAAAAATATTAACGTTTTTCTATTCCTTTTCCCCTTT